AACCTATCCCATGGAAATTCCTTGACAGTTTTTCATCTAGCCAGTGGAAATTCCGTATTGATTCTTTGATTAGTAGCTATCCCTTGGAAAATTCCTTGCTGATTTTTATCCTATCCTTTGGAATTTCTTTTCCATTGTTGACCCTCCCATGGAAATTCCATACGTTTTACTCATTTTTCTTACCTACCCTTTGGAATTTCCGCAGATTTGCTTTAAAATTTGGACCCTCCCATGGAAATTCCTTCATTTTTGGTTCACTTTTGCAGGGGGGCATTGGAAATTCCACATGTCCTCAATAGGGGGGGTGCGGATTAATAATGCGATCAGCCAATATTTAATACAAAAATATATAAAGGCTTTATCTCAATCGGCTAGTGCCGATGAAGCTTTACAGATATATCATTCTATACATGTATACAACTAAATTAAGCTCATTGACCATTAAAGAGAATTAAATAGCTTATTGCAAGATGGAGTAAAATTGTCTGGCATTGGACAGACTAGTAATGCAATAGTAGATTAGTTGGGTGCATTTTGGGCACATGCATTGCAACTTAATGGGTGATTGAAGATCAATACACTGAAAATATCACATTAAATGCTGTAATTCTTCTGTAATTTCAATCCTTATTGAAGTATTAAAATGTTATTAACATATATATATCTTTGATATGTTTAATTATTATATTATTTCAAATACTTTGACAAAGGTCTATGCATCTATCAAAGTGCCAAATTATGCCAAAGACAAATATTGCCAAATTATGCCAAAGACAAATATTGCTAAATTGTTACAATAGTGGGTAATTTAGTATAGAATTCACAATAATGGTTCGAATTTATATTTTATCTATTCTTCCCTTGCTAGAAATCGAAATTTCGTATGTTTTTTTATGCAAATCGACGCGGCAAATTCAAACATTCAACGGAATTTAAGACATATGGCCAAGTATAAACAATCATATTCACTACATTATTTCGGAATTAAAGTGCTTAAATAGCATCAAACATGAAACTGTTCTTACCTGTGAGATTTGAATAACATTTTAAGAACTTTCCAATGCCTTTTCCATCGTTTGGGTTAAAAATATAAGGGAAAATTTCCCTTGAAATCCACATGTAAGAGTATTTTGAAATTTCAATTTTAAAACGACGCTATCCCATGAAGCTTCGCGCCCTTGCAAAATTAGGCACCAGGCTTCCAGTCAATGCACGAACTATTGCTTCTAAAGAAAATCATATCTAATTATCTTATATTAAGACTAATATTATATAAGAAAATATTAAAACATCTTATTTAAAGAATCTTAAGTTAATCAGTTAAGTTATTATTAGAAAATATTTTTTGTTTCAAGAACAAATTGTCTTGAAAGAAATATTTTTCTAAAATCAATCATGATCTTTTCTCTTCATGTAAATTTTTGGGACACAATAATATTGTTATAAAGTATAAATAATAAACTAGGCTTAAGTCAATAGGTTTATTACATTCTATGATATACTCTATAGAATATTCTATACTATTTCATTATAGAAAATATTCTATAGAATATGCTATTGGATGTTTCATATGAATGTGCAATAGAATATTCTATAGGATCTGGAAGTTCTATAGAATATGGCAATAGAATATTCTATAGGATCACAGGTTCTATAGAATATTCTATAGGATATAGAATATTCTATACCATATTCTATAGGATTCTATAGAACATTTTCGTAAGGGTTATCCAGGTTATTAATGAAAATGTTATCAATTAACGTAGCAGAAGTTGTACGAACACGTGTAAGCTTGTCAATTGTTGGAATGAGATAACAGCTTTGCAATGCTAATAAAAAGTCATGACTTATCTGAGATTTTTCACATTTAAGAAGGTCCACATTAAAATCACCCATGATATAAATTACCTTATCACTAGACACGAATTCCTCGATTTTTGAAAATATTCAGGAGAATTGTGTTGTCGATAGACTATTCCGCACACAATATTTTTGTGATTGACAAACGGTATTTCAATCCACAATGCTTGAAATGCCGTGTTACTGGTCTTTTCAAGAACATTATAATTTAACAATCATTCAATAAACAAACCAGCGCCTGCGGAAGCCAGTGGTGTTGGCACATGTTCAAAACAATAACCTGGGATGGTCGGATGAAAATTGCTTTCATTTGAATTTGTTATTTTAGTTTCTGTTATTCCAATGATGCTAAAATGGAAATTAAGTTCATCTAATAGAACTGTCAAGTTTTCTAGGTTTCGGTTTACGCTCACGATATTATTATGAAATATCGAGAAACTAGTCTGAATCTCATTTTCGGAAAGCTTTTTGCCAAACTTCTTAAAACTATGCACAGAAAAATATCGGCTTTGGATGCATTGGCTATGAATATTATGATTGCTCCTCAGAGCATTATCTAAATCATTGTTAAAATCAAAAATATTCAAGTCATATAGGCCAGCTAATTTATCTAAATTTTTCCTAGGTTGGCAAGTAATAGGGATTGAGTTATTAAACTGACCAAGGCATGATACTAAATCGCCTCTAAAGTTATAAAAGGGGAGTTCTTTTAATAATAATTTAGCAGCCTTCTTTTTAGACTTAATTCTACGTGTCTCCATAGGCATAGTTGTAGAGTTTTAACA